GCTACCTCAGTAAGTGAAGACAACCGCCGAATCATGAACCATTTTATTAGCTAACATTGAAATAAGAATATTGAACTTTTCTTCTGTCTCTATGCGCATTATTGGAATAATCCCGTCCAATGTAACTCGAATAATTCCCGCCTACTGGGATTTTTCTCGGCGCTTCCACCAATATGGCGTGCGCTACAATGCATTCGTCGTTATCGCGATACCGGAAACGTCTTCCCGCATCTCGTCAACGGCGGCAAGTACGGCATGACCATCATGTCGTCTGTGACTCTATCGCTATATCGTATGAGAGCCACTCAGTCCAATCTCGGACTGTTCGTGACTTTCTCGACCATGAACGGCATTTACACCTGTAAGTTTTGCGATCAGCTCGCTGTCCCTATCGTCTTGCATGTTGATCTTTAGTCTAACACGAAATCTGTAGCAATCTGGGATCTGTTTATGGATTTCTCCTTCTTCCAGCCCGAAACGCGCCACCGATTTCTGCGCGATATCCTCGGGCTCAAGCGTCGGTGGATGTATTATGTCATCATGGTGCTAGACCCGATTCTCCGCTTCGGCTGGGTCTTCTATGCTATCTTCACGCACAACAAGCAACATAGCACCCTTGTTTCATTCCTTGTCGCCTTGGCAGAAGTCACCCGCCGTGGCATGTGGGCATTGTTCCGTGTCGAGAACGAGCACTGCGGTAACGTTGCCCAGTACAAGGCCAGTCGCGACATTCCTTTGCCCTACTCTCTACACAACCACGAACCGCTTGTCGAGCGCGTGAGCACGGATGAGGAAGAACAACGGCAGGCTAAAGCACCCCCGCCCCCACGCATACCTAGTAACGTACTGCCTGTCGAAGGAGCAACCGCAAGCTCAATCGACATTAGCACGGCAGGTGCTTCTGCCCTTGGCCGCGAACAATCCGGCGCCCAGGCACAGCCTCAAGCGCAGGAGCAAACAGAGGGAGGCACAATGCGGTGGCGTCGCAGACCCGAGGTCCTGCGCGCACGGTCCATCCGTGGCATCATGGCCGACGCGCACAGGCAGGATTTTGAGAAGCGGCGGCGGCCGCTTGAGCCCGCGCCCTCGGAAAACGAGGCTGATTTGGCAGAAGAAGAAGTACCGAGTGAGGAGGATGAAGAAGATGACGACGATGATGATACGGGAAGTATCATGGATGAGCGTATGGAAGCTAGACGATCTGAGGGGTTGACTAAAGCTGAGACTGGGAGGAGGAGCGAGTGAGCGTTAGGATTTTAGAGGGTGAATTTAGGTTGGGTTTGAATAGAAATAGGATTAGACAGGCTTGGGTAATTTATAATCTGCGATGTTTGGCTCGGATGATGAGTCTACTGGGAGTGATATTCGGTTGCGTTTTGATTCATCACGTTGAGAGCAGGGGCGAATAAATAACATACTACCTAGGGTATATAGGTATCCAGAAGCCAATTTGAAACCGTAATGTCAACACAGCACAACACAACGCAACACATCCTCACCGACTACACTTCTAAGCGTCAAGAGAACACTCATATATCCTATTTACATCCAAATCAAAACTCATCTGGCGAAGAACGTACCTACCCCCCATCTCCTCATCCCCTAATCCTCTCAAACCGCACAAACAGCCCATCCGCCGGCCGCAACGTCAAACTCGGATTCGCCAACTTCACTCCTCGACCAACCTTCTCCTCACCCTCCGTCAACAACTCCCCATCCTCCCCATCCTTCCCATCCCTCCTGTTCCTCTCGATCCCAAGGAACCGAAACCGAGGCGCCAGCTCCACGAGCACGGCCTTGACAACGACAATCGCGAAGTTGCGACCCGGACACGTGCGCGGGCCCTGCAGGAACGCCTCGAAGGCGAAGGGCGAGGCCGCGTCCCCCGTTAGCCGGTCCCAGCGATCCGGGTCGAAGGCGCTGGCGTCGGGACCCCAGATCGAGGGACGCTGGTGTGTGACGGGGATGATGAGGTCGATTTGCGTGCCCTTTGGTATGGGCGTGTTTTCGATTATTAGGTCTCGGGTTGCTTCGCGTTGGGCCATGTACGCTGTGGTGGGTTAGTTGGTAGGTTCGGGGGTTCGGGGGTGTTTGGGGCGTTAGTTAGTAGGGGAAAGGAGGGGGGGTTGGGGACGTACATGGAGGAAAGACACGGAGGACCTCGCGGAGGAAGTTGTGGAGGAATGGTAGGCCGAATATTGAGTCGTAGTCGGGCTCCGGGTTCGTCTTTAATAGGGAATTAATCTCAGATCGTAGCCGATCTTGTATAGAAGGGTTTGTTGCGAGAATATACAGACACCATGATATAGTAGTCGCCGAGCTTTCATGACCTAGAAATGACAAATGGTGAGTTGTTTATATAATCTCATAGCTGATACAAAGGTAGTGAGAGTCTAACCTGCAGATGTGAAATTCAGAAGCTAGAGAAACATAAGATTGTTAGCGTTGCTCTAATAGGATGGGAAATACTGGGTCTTTCTCACATGGCCGATGATATCGTCTACAGTCCAAACTTCCTTCCCTGTCTCCTTCCGGCGTAATTCAGCTTCTTCCAGCATGTACGTCAAAAGATCTCTCGACTCTCCCATTTCCTTCTTGTAAGTCCCGTCTGCTAAGTCTGCTGTGCGCTTCTGGATGATATCCCGCAGCATCTTTCTTAGGTCGGTTGTAGCCTGGATGAACTTATGATTCGCCTCTAAGGGAACAATGCCTCGGATAGGTATGAAAGCATTAACAACCGAAATTAACTGGCCTACAGCCCCTTGGTGAAGGACCCGGCTGTAGAGCTCCTGGAAACCTAGTGGATACATCGATGATAAGGTCTCTAACTCAATTCCTAGAACTGTTACACCGATAGTATCCATAGTTGACTTAGATAAAGTCTCAATCGCTATAGAAAGAGTTAGTCATAAGATAGTCAGCATCTCTACGGACGCATTCTGTCTGTAGCGTACCTTCCACGGCGGCGTGAGGTTTGTCCCCCAGTATACCTTCGAAAACCGCTGATATGTCCTTCGCCTTTTCTCGAAATACGGGCAGAAGCTTCCTCATGCTCGGGACCGAGAAGGGCCCTGCTAACAATCTTCGCTCGCGCTTATGATGCTCTCCTTCTGCGAATAACAGTCCCACGCCGGTGATCTCGCCGACTAGGCGCGCAAAGAACGGCGGTTTGACAAAATCATACACGTAGGTCTGCAGAACAGCCTTATGCGCAGCCAAGCTGTTCACAAGGAGAACCTCTTTGCCTGCGAATGAGACGTACCTGATGAATGGTGCGTCGGGCCATTTGCGCATCCATTCTAATTGAACACTAACGGGGCTCTCGGCTTTGAATTTCTTCACTTCTTGTCCGAGGATAAGGCTATGATCCTGGAAGTTTGGTTAGAGCGATGCAATGCTATCCATAGAACTTGTAGATATCATTCATACCTTTGGTCCTGGTAGATGTTTGAGTGGTGAGAAGAAATTGGGGTATAATACGACACGGTAGATTTTGAGTAAAACATATTGCACGAGAAGCCCGACGAAGAAGTTCTTCAAGTTTGATAACTCATAAAGTTCCCTACCAGGGCTGAGCGCGATTAGTTCTAGCGCTGTCAGCCCGGCGCAGGTGATGATATCCATTTCGAAGTTACAGGAATATATGGGAGCCAACCCGAAGGGCAAATAGAAAAAAAAATCACATATAAATAAGGATGAAATTATTACTATATAGATAGTAACGCCATGCTCAGCTCACATGTTACTATTAAATTAGAGCAGGGAATAAGCGGTGTCTGTGGCCGAGTTCCCCGATAAGACTGGCCATCTTGAAAGGCACATGGAATCGCCAATATTATGCGATACTCTAAGGTGGATTCCCTAGAGTAATGGCAGAAGAATGCGAGAGCTAGAGCTGACCTATTCAAGGCAAGCTAGCCACATAATAGATGCTGATATCCACTAGATATCGTAAGTACCTTTTTTCTTGGTGCGATTCGTTGCCTCGCTACTTGGCTGATTTGGTTATCTTGGGGTTGAATGGAACATCAAGGGCTGCAGAAGACGATGGTCTCTAACCACACTGGATGAGACGTTTTTCCAATCTTGAGGTCGGTTCTAAGCGAAGTAAAAAGAAGCTTAGGTACCTATATTCTCTGTAAGATGAGGAAACAAAAGAGTTCGATACTACACTTCAAGACCTATCACTGAAACGTGAAAATCTGAATCAGTGATGGCGTCAGCCAGAATTCGGGTATGAACGGCATCGCCATTAGATACTAGAAGTAGCGGTGTCTGTGTACTGTAATGTAGCTCGTATAGAGTAGGCTGCCCAATCTGTAAATAGCCCTTATGCATGTATTGGCTTGATAATCCATGTGAACGAAGCTTTCAAGATGATAGTAGTCTAGAGAACCTGAACTTGAGTGATCGGAGCATCCACGGCGGCAGGACGGGAAAATACCGACCTGCCCCGCATTACCTAACGGGCTAGAGAGCCAGTCGGCTTACTCCATTCGTCCCAACTCTTGTCGGCGGCTTCTTGTTTAGCAAGAACGGAAATTTTCACCACAGCTGCATAGCGACGAATGGTGAGATGGCCGAGTTGGTCTATGGCGCTAGGTTAAGGTCTCAATCTTAACAAAGATTTCCTAGTGGAGAAATCCGCGTGGGTTCGAATCCCACTCTCATCAACAATTTTTTGTTGTTTAAATTGGCCATCAGTCCCATTGTTATTTGTCTTTTTATTCTTTTTATTTCCCCTTCAGACTTATCATTCATTCTCTCCTGTAACCTGACACAGTGCTACTCGCCGAGATACAAATTATTTCTGCCACAACCGTTTAACCTGTGGTGTAATAGCTATGTCTGAGGAAATAGATGGGTTTGCTAACCATACTTTACGTACATTACCAAAATTTTGTACTTCTTTTCCTCTATTTTCTCGAGCTAGTCGCTCCTGTTCGACATACTTGATTCACGATTAATACACTATCTCTTCCATCAACAACTAGGAGAACGGTGAGATGGCCGAGTTGGTTATGGCGTGAGGTTAAGGTCACCTTAGCATTCTAATGCATCTAGCATCTAATTCCTCATGGAGCAATCCGCGTGGGTTCAAGTCCCACTCTCATCATCATTTATGTGTTTTTGTTTTTCAACAATTTTTTGCCCTTTGTGATATTGATACTCACGGAATGGTCAATTTGGAGTTGAAATTAAGCTCATAGCCTTCTCCTAAGATTCGAAGAAATGGTAAAGAACGATGCCGCCTGCTCCTAGGCATACCCTGTTGCGGGTATCTTTTTCATGCTGAGAATTGGATATTCGTAAGGTTCCATTCGTAAGGTTCGAATGTTCCTGCGCACGAGAACCCTAGGTGGGGTAGGCAAGTACCTAAACCCCCCTGTAACGGCATCCAGTGGGTGGATCTTAGGGGCTATAATCTAGGTCATCTGCAAGGGGTAGTAGCAGCTGATAACGTCTTATCAGTCGCAATCACGGATTGCTTTAGCTGGTGCGATTCCGGCTATGTTGACTTCATCCCCAACCTCTTCCCTAGTTCACCTAAGTCACCTTTCTACTCTTCTGATTCTTCTATTTAAGTGACAATCAGCATCCGGTTACAATCTATCATCTAGGAATCTACGAGTTTGAGCATGACACGACACACTTCCGATTTCTTGCGTCAGCGCGGCTCCAACTTGTCTCTCCGAAGCGCGGCAGCGGTGAACTCTGTAACCATGTCTCGATTGTCAAGTTTCGCCAACCCTGCCGACTTCGAAAATGGACAGGCCATATCCGACGCTGAAAAGGCATTTATCGTAGGCGACTTGGCTCACTCTAGTGGACCGTTGACCCTTTGCGATTCTTGTAGCCGAGATATTCCAGACCATCGCATCGGATCCCGTCCCTTCACACGCGCCGAAGACCGAAGCTCATGTTCCGTGTGCCATGTCCTCTCGACGAAGCCTGAGGCTTTCACCGAACCGTTCTGCAAATTCCTGCAGGAGAATCCGACCGTATTCCACGTCGTTGGCTACTTCAAGGACAAAATGACATCGCTTGGCTATAAGGAGGTTGGTGTTCTTAGTTGCTACTCTCGAGATGGATTGAGCTAACCATCGCCCCTAAGCTTCCCGCACGGGACGATTGGTCTGGAAAACTCGAGGCTGGCGGCAAGTATTTCGTGACTCGAAACGGTAGCTCTGTTATTGCTTTCACGGTTGGAAAAGCGTATAAACCTGGCAACGGTGTGGCTATGGTTGCAGGCCACATTGATGCCTTAACAGCCAGGCTGAAACCCGTTAGTAACAAACCGACCAAACATGGATACATTCAGCTAGGCGTCGCTCCCTACGCAGGAGCTCTGAATGAGACCTGGTGGGATCGCGATCTTAGCATTGGAGGTAGAGTTATTGTACGGGATGAGTCGGGAAAGACTTCAAGCAAGCTTGTCAAGCTTGACTGGCCCAGTAAGCATGTCTCATGCGAAGCGAAAATGGATTTTCTAGCTAATTGAATACAGTTGCTCGTATACCGACTCTGGCTCCCCATTTTGGAGTCGGTATGATGGGTCAGAATAACAAGGAGACCGAAGCAGTGCCAATTATTGGGCTTGACAATTCTGACATTTCATCCTCGGGCGCTAAGCCAATTGAGCCCCTTGGTACACCTGGATCGTTCGCGGCCACTCAACCACCGAGACTCGTCCAATTAATCTCAAAACAACTGGGCATCAAAGACTATTCGCAAATTGTGAATTGGGAACTAGAGCTGTTCGATCTTCAACCTGCGACCGTAGGTGGAATGGACAAGGAGTTCATCTTTGCTGGAAGAATTGATGATAAACTATGCAGCTGGTCTGCGTTCCAGGGACTTCTGGCCTCGGAGACAAACGATGATGACGGAGTTATAAAATTAGTTGCTCTCTTTGATGATGAAGAGATTGGCTCGTTACTTCGCCAAGGTGCGAGGGGCAATTTTCTACCATTTACCATCGAGAGAGCCGTCGAGGCGCTATGCGGAGCGACGGACAAGACATTTGGCCCTGGTGTTGTAGGCCAAACATACGCTCGATCTTTCCTCGTGTCTGCCGACGTCACTCATGCCGTAAACCCGAACTTCCTCGGTCGCTACCTAGAAGATCATACGCCTCGTCTGAACGTTGGAATTTCCATCGCTGCAGACAGTAACGGTCACATGACTACGGATGCGGTGTCGACGGCTATTGTCACCAGAGTTTGTGAGTTAAGCGACTGCACACCACAAGTTTTCCAGATCCGAAACGACTCCCGAAGCGGTGGCACAGTTGGGCCCATGTTGAGCAGTGCTATGGGTGTAAAAGCCATTGATGCGGGAATGGCCCAACTTAGCATGCATTCGATTCGTGCTACATGCGGATCTCTTGATCCCGGCCTGGGTGTCAAATTCTTCAAGGGATTCCTTGATAAATGGGAAAAGGTCGACGCGGAATGGCAATGAGATTAACGCCCACCTGCGAACTTATTATTGCTAGAGTGTACAAATATGCATGCCAACATCCGTCGGGTTGGCTTCGGCGAGCACATTGATTGGATCTCTTAAGTTGCCAGAATCCGGTTGTTTAGAGCGGATGATTTCTCCATAGACGTAGTAATATGTACACATATCGTTCAGAATGAATTAGGCATATGTCCACGCGATATCTTATGATGGTGTACCTGGATCTGGATAACGTAAGCAATATCTGGGGAAAGTTATTGCCACCTGCAGGAACTGAGAAGCCATTCAGAACGGGATCCCCTTCACATGCTAAATGCAGAATGCAGAATGATGCAATCAAGGACCCGCCATGGGGGAACATTGAGTTTTGATCGGTGCGCTACGTGCGACCTAGCTCGATTATAGACTTATTTTCGGAAACCCATTGTGAATAAGCACGAGATACTGTCGTGTGATCAATATTAATTCAAAATATGTAAACCACATATCGGATTTCTTGAAGGCATTACTTCTTGTTGCATAACCCATTTAGCTATTGATGGAACCCGCCTCAAGGCTTCGTAGAGATTCACAACTAAAATGATGACGTGTTTCGGAGCTAAAGCAGCTGAAATGACGGGGAATTGTAGGTTGCTATTGGCTCGTTCCTTTTATTTTTTTTTGCCAATGCGTATCGGTCACGATGTCTACTTCCAGTACTTCCCCTACTTCCCGTACGCCCGCTTAATCTTTGTGCTTCTACAATTTACATACTTTATAGACTGTTTTAATAAGGCAAGCATTCGCCTAGGTATTTTGTGAAACATTCTCACGGCTTCTGATTAGACCTTCGTTTCTGTACATTTGCGGAAGCAACCTTGGGGCCAAGTGACGAGGCTGTGTTCGGTCAACTAATAATTCTCTCCTTCTCCTAGCGCAGGCGAACTCTTGAGGTTAATTCTTTGATCTTCAAGAACGACTTTTTGGAAAATAAACATCTTCATACGTATTACCAATAATAGATCTCCCCGAGCCACTCGTTTCCGGCAAACCCGGTTCTGACCTTGCTACGAAACATTTCATCCGAGTACCAACAAAGACAATATTGAATGCTAGTAATAATCCATGGCGCAGCCAGCAAATCCTTCGAGCACCGACAAGTGGAGCTCCTTGCTCTCACGATTGAACCCAGTCCCGGGTTTCGCAGACTACACTGGTCCCTACAAAGTCGGCACCGTCGACGTTGAGATCCCTGTCTCGGAGCTCGAGTCTCCAGCCCCGGCACCGCCCAATGCCGCCGACATTGAGACAATCCAGTTCCGGATATTCTATCCCGCACATCCGGATGCTCAGGGAAAGCGCATAACGTGGCTACCGGCCCCGCAGCGGGAGCATCTGTCTGCGTACGTCCAGTTCTTGGGGGTTGGGCAACTACTGGCTAATGCTGTTTCGTAAGTCGATGTGCACACTGGATCTAGCGCTCGTATTAATGTTTATATACAGCTTCTTACCGAGACATCTGCACTACACCACGATACCCGTCGTTAAGAACGCGCCGGTACTCGAACCCAACACCCCGAACAAACGATGGCCGACTGCCATCTTCTCACACGGCTTAGGCGGTAGCAGAAATGCATATTCGCAGATTGTCGGGTCGCTCGCGTCTCACGGCGTCGTGGTCATATGTCCAGAACATAGAGATGGAAGTGCCGTTGCGTCTTTCATCCGTATCCCTTCTCAACAGAACCGGTACTTCGTGCGTAACACCCGCCGTATGGTCCCGTATAACCGAATCAGTCATGACCCCTCTGACGAGGTATACGCCCTACGCAACGACCAACTGCGCATACGACTATGGGAGATGGGCCTGATACACGAGGCTATACTAGGAATTGATAAAGGTGTGGCATTGACAAACCTAAACAAGAGCACGCCGTCTCTCGCCCATTTCGTGGGAAAACTACACGTCCACGAGCCGGGTAGCATCATTTTTGCTGGCCACAGCTTTGGTTCGGCTACTATGGTCCAGTTCCTTAAGTCCGTCTTCTACGCCGGTCGCCCCGAGCTGGAGAATATGGAGGACCAACTATACGTGCCGTCCCGCGAGTCTTCGATCTACAGACAGATCACGCCGCAGAACGTCACCATCCTACTCGACATGTGGTGCATGCCACTCCTCGCCCCGACCACCAAGCCGCTTCGAGACCTCCCCCTCCCCGTCTACGCCGAACCGCATCCATCCCCCTCCTCCTCCTCCTCCTCCTCCCAATCCACAGACCCATCAAGCCGGCCCAACCCCCCGCAACCCTCCCCCGGCGGCAACGCCCTCCTCGCCATCGAATCCGCCGACTTCTTCAACTGGAAAGAGCACCTCCACGCGACCTCCCTCCTCCTCTCGCCCGATCCCTCCGCACCCACCGTCCAGGCGGCCGCGTTCTACGAGGACATCGCGTCGGGCGTCAAGATGCGGGAGCCGCACTTCTTCTACGTGGAGCGGTCGGCGCACCTCTCGCAGTCCGACTTCGGCGTCCTGTTCCCCTGGCTCATGTTCAAGATCTACAGGTCCGAGGAGCCGGAGCGCGCGCTCAGGCTCAACCGCCGCGCCATTCTGCAGGTGCTCAGGAAGAACGGCGTGCCTGTTGCGAGGACTTGGAGGGGCGATTTGGTCGATGG